GGCACAATCGCGGCTCACTGCAACCTCCGCCTCCCGGGTTCAAGCAATTCTCCTGCCTCAGCCTTCCAAGTAGCTGGGAGGAACTACAGGCGCACGCCACCACGCCCAGCTAATTTTTTGTATTTTTAGTAGAGACGGGGTTTCACCATGTTGGCCAGGATGGTCTAGATCTCTTGACCTCGTGATCCACCCGCCTGGGCCTCCCAAAGTGCTGGGATTACAGGCTTGAGCCACCGCATCCGGCCTCAAGTAAATTTTCAAAGAAGAGTCACAGCTAGCATTTTTGGTAAGACCATCCAAATATTTTATGCTTAGAGTAGATGATAATGACTTTCAATTAAAATAGGCAAAGAACTATATTTTCTAAAATAACAACTTAGTGTAATTTGATAAGGAGTGTATGTTACTATCTGTTCAACAGTCTACATGTTTCTTGAAGACTTCTAAGCTCGGTCCTTTCTCTAAAGCTTTATTATCTATAATTAAATATTTTTTCATGAAAACAAACCAATATATATAAGTAGTAAGGATGCTGAGACCTAACATGCTGCATCATTTGTACATAGCAAAAGTTAAATTTCATCATTTAATGTCACTCACCACACCTAGCAACTTTTTGTATTTTTTGTAGAGGTGGGGTTTTGTCATGTTTCCCAGGCTGATCTTCAACTCCTGGGGTCAATCTTCCCACCTCAGCCTCCAAAGTGCTGGGATTACAGGTGCGAGCCACCACGCCCAGCCTACTTTATCAGATTTTGAGAAATGATTATTCCTTAAAATCTTTATGAAATGTACCATTGCCTTTGAGATTTTTTCCCCCATTTTTTATGGCAGAATTCTTCAGTTTGTACCAAGGAAAATCTTGCATTTTAAGACTTAAGAACTTTTAGCATGGAAAAAGCCTTTCAAGAAATTCTTGTTGATTTCCCTGGAATATTTTAGTCTTTGATTCATATGAAATCTATTATTTATGTCTTTTTCCTAAATACATATAAGGCCAGTCCTCTGAGATATTGTTTCTATAAATTTATAATGTTTCTAATCTGCTTTTTAGACTCCTCTTAATATAACTGACAAGAAAAGACTTAAAAAGATGAAAAAATGTTACAATGTTTGATTTTGTAAATGACAACTCACTGCACATCACATCATGAAAATATGAAAATCTTTGTGATGATGAAATTGAAAGATTTTTGCATCAAATGAAAATGTGTACTAAATTTATCAGTGGAAGAAAGAATAGGAAACATTAATAAAAGTGGTTTATCTGAGTGGTTAGTACCATTATGAAACATACAGTTGTGAATATGTTATGTGTCCTGTTTTTGTTTTTGTTTTTAAGGGAAAACATTAACTTTTGAGCTACGTCCAGAATAGCATCATCTACATGGTTATTCCCTACTCCTAGGATATCAGAAAACCTTTGATAACTAATTGAGAAAATGCAGAAGATCTTGCAGACAGATGAAATTACCAATACACAAGCTTTTAGAAAAGGAAAGAGGAAAAGGACAGAGACAATGGACTCAGAAAATGGAAATAGTGACATGGATAAAGGACAGGTTGGTTTTTTGTTACCTTGATTCAACTTTATTATCTAGCTCAATCATAATTTTATGATTTCTTTCATAATTTATTTTTTTCTTTCATAATTGATTAGTGCTTCTCCCTCTTCTATTATTTCATTCTTCTTTTTATTTCATTATTCAAGGGAGGAAATATAATCCTATTTTTTTTCTCTTTTTAAAAATGTTTTGTAGAGACAGAGTCTCCCTATGTTGCCCGGGCTGGTCTCAAATTCCTGGGTTTAAGTGATCCTTCCACCCTAGCCTCTCAAAGTGCTGAGATTACAGGCGTAAGCCACTGGACCGTCTTACGTTCTTTTTTTTAAATGTTGAAGTGTTGAGTTAGAAACATACTCAACAGACAATTTATCTGCTTCTATTATTCAATAACAGTCTAAGAAATTAAAGATCAGCAAACTGTCAGAAAATATTTTTCCTCCCCCTAAATACTGAAGAAATTAGAATGCCTCATTTTTTATTTTTTTTGAGACAGAGTCTCACTGAGGTTGGAGTGCAGTGGCATGATCCTAGCTCACTGCAACCTCCACCTCCCGGGTTCAAGTGATTCTCCTTCCTCAGCCTCCCAAGTAGGTGGGACTATAGGCTCCTGCCACCACACCCAGCTAATTTCTGCATTTTTAGTGGAGATGGTATTTCACTTTGTTGGCCAGGATGGTCCCAATCTCTTGATCTCGTGATCCTCCTACCTTGGCTTCCCAAAGTGCTGGGATTATAGACATCAGTCACTGTGCCCAGCCAATGACTCATCTTTAAGACTGTTTGTTTTTCTTTTTAGACCTCAGTTTGTGGCCTGTTCTTCACTGGTTTGGTCAGGGCACCTCTCCTATTTTATTTATTCATTTGTTCCTTTTAAATCTGAATTCCCCACTTCCATTACCCACTTATGCTTTGGACAACCAATCAGTGTATTTATTTCTATATCTTTCTGTGTGTTTTTGTAATACATATATTTGTGTATGTCTCTGTAATATAGTGTTATATTTCATATATCCTTAATTATTTAAATAAATCTTACATTCTTATCATTTAAAATGTTTTTTAAAGGTGAACAGTGAAAAGTCTCCCTCACATCCCTGTCTCCCACCTACCCTGTTCCTGCCGCTGGCCTCCCAATACAAGTAATTACACTTATTGCTTTCTTGTTTATCTTTCTAGTGTTTCTTTGTTCAAATAAATCAAATATGAATGTACATTCTTATCCCCGCCTTTTGAAAAAACTAACCATATATATTGCTTTATACTTTGCTTTTTTACTTAATGTATTTTGAAGGTACTTCCATTTTATATAAAGAGCTTTGTCGCTTTTACAGCTCCATGTTATTACACTGTGTGTATTCACCATCCTTTGTTTAACTGGTTTCCTGTGATAGATATAGGTTGTTTCCAATCTTTTTCTTATTATTTAATACAAACCACACAACACTGTACCACCTTATGTGTACATCATTTGGTAGTACAGTAGTGTTATAGACCTTAATCTGTTTCGGATTTTCAATCAGCACTGTTTTTTTTTTTAAATAAATTTTATTGTGTGTATTTCAGGTATACAACATATTATTGGAAACATACAGACAGTAAGAAGGTTACTATAGTGAAACATATCCATCACTCACATAGTTGCCCATTTAAAAATTTCTGTGACAAGAGCAGATAAAATCTACACATGTAGCATGAATCCCAAACACAATACAATTTTATTACCTATGGTCCTCATGTTGTACATTAGATCTCTAATCTTGTTTGTTCTGTGTATCTGCTACTTCGTATCCTCTGACTTACATCTCCCCATTTTCCCTCCTGTAAGCCCCATCTGCCCTGGTAATTACTGTTTTGTTCTCTATCTCTGTATATTTGAAAGTTTTTTTTTAGATTCCAGGTATAAGTGAGATCATGCAATACTTTTCTTTCTGTGTGTGGTTTATTTCACCTAACATAACATCCTCCAGGCTCACCTACTTTGTGGCAAATAGCGATATTTCATTTTTTTTTAGGGCTCAATGATATTCCACTTATAAATATACTAATACTGCAGTTTCTTTATCCATTGATGGATGCTTTGCTTGCTTCCACACAATTAGCACTGTTTTTAATATCATCTGTCTATATTACTATGTATACATCTGATCCCTTGCTTCTAGCTGCTGAATAGTACCATGTTTTATTTATTGTTTCCTCAGTGATGAATACCCAGGTTACCTCCAGCATCTTGCTAGACAAACAATCACAAAGTAAATATTGTTATACATGTCCTTTTAAGAAACTGGGAGGCTGGGTGCAGTGGCTCATGCCTATAATCCCAGCACTTTGGAAGGCCAAGGCAGGAGGATCACTTGAGCCCAGGAGTTTGAGACCAGCCTGGGCAACACAGGGAGACTCTCTCTCTACCAAAAAAAATAATTAAAATTAACTAGGTGCAATCACTCACACCTGTAGTCCCAGCTGCTTGGGAAGCTGAGGTGAGAGGATTGCTTGAGCCTAGGAGTTTGAGGCTACATTGAGCTGTATTCCTACCACTGCACTTCAGGCAGGGTGACAGAGCCAGACCTTGTCTCAAAAGAAAAAAAAAAAAACTGTGTGACAATTTATCTGGGATAATACATGGGAAAGTGATTTATACCTTTTAAGTTATGTGTTTATTTCTAGTTCATTTGACTAGATATTATAAGATTACTTTTCAAGAGTGTTCATATCAGTCTGCATGCCCAGCATCAATGTTTAAGAGGTTCCTATATTTGTACGTACTTCCCTAACCATTAGCATTAATATGCAGATTTCTAATTTTTGCCAAATTGATGGGCGAAAATGATACCTCAGGGTTTTAATCTCCTGGTGCAGATTTGGGGGAACTCAAGGATTGCTTGAGAGGTAAAACAGTCACATGCTCTCGAAGGCCGGTAGTGAGATTTCTTTAGCAAAAACTTAATAGCTTTCTAAACCACTTATTTCTTTTTTGTTCCATTGAAATTCACTATAGCCAGAGATTTTATTTGGTCATAGATTGTAAGCCTGAAAACTGTTCTTTTCAATTATGGCATCTGTGTTCAGCCTCTTTTCTCTCAAATGTATGACAGTTATCTAAACAACCATACAAAACAAAAAGCTTGAAGGTAACACCTTGCATCTGAAGCTTACCACTGGGCTGGATTTCATTATCTGGCAAGAACACTTAAAGAAAACTCTTTTTTTTTTTTTTATTTTTTTTTTTTTTTTTTTAAAGACAGGGTTTCACCATGTTGGTCAGGTTGGTCTTGAACTCCCGACCTCAGGTGATCTGCCCACCTTGGCCTCCAAAGTGCTTGGATTACAGGCGTGAGCCACCACGCCCGGCCTAAAGAAAACTCTTGAGAAAACCTTGAGGATACAGTCTTACCTCCTGCTATTTAGACATAAAAGTAATTGGCTTTTTCAAAACTTGAAGATTGAACATCATTGTACTTTCAGTTCATTTAAATTGCATGCTGCACTAAGAGAGCTTTCCATGTCTGCTTGCAAACTGACTAGCACTGAAAATGAGTAGCTGATACACACCAGCATTCTTCTTCCAGTTTCAATAAGCTTGTGGTCTGGATTTAAAGGTATTCCAGGTGACTGTTGTACCAAATATGCTCCAAGGTCTAACAAGAATCTACAGCTATCGGCCGGGCGCAGTGGCTCAAGCCTGTAATCCCAGCACTTTGGGAGGCCGAGGCGGGTGGATCACGAGGTGAAGAGATCGAGACCATCCTGGTCAA